CCCCTGTTTATCCTTGTGCTTTTCTTCTGTGTTTTGTACATCCTGTAAATTACTGTACATTTTATGATACAACTTGACTAAACGTAAGAAGAGTTTTGACTCAAATTGTTATCATCATAAATAAAGAGTATTATTATAACAATGCATGTACCACTATAATGACTGTAAATCTGTCGAGTATGGGTCGGCCCCTCAGGTGATCAGAGAGAGATAATTTTGATGAGTGACGGAGAGTTTCGACCCTCAGGTGATCAGGGAGAGATAATTTTGATGTGTGACGGAGAGTTTTGACCCTCAGGTGATCAGAGAGAGAGATAATTTTGATGTGTGACGGAGAGTTTCGACCCTCAGGTGGTCAGAGAGAGATAATTTTGATGCGTGACGGAGAGTTTCGACCCTAAGGTGATCAGAGAGAGATAATGTTGATGAGTGACCGAGAGTTGCGACCCTCAGGTGATCAGAGAGGGAGATAATTTTGATGTGTGACAGAGAGTTTCGACCCTCAGGTGATCAGAGAGAGATAATTTTGATGAGTGACAGAGAGTTTCGACCCTCATTTGATCAGAGAGAGAGATAATTTTGATGAGTGACCGAGAGTTTCGACCCTCAGGTGATCAGAGAGAGATAATTTTGATGAGTGACAGAGAGTTTCGTCTGGCTATGTATTGAATAATATTGGATACGACAGGCACTGGCATACTGAATCTATCTCCAAGTAAATGTTGATAAAATGTTTTTGAGTTGGCAAGAAATTTGGGGGTGTACCAAGTAGACCTACTTTTCTTACCATTCAACCTTCAAGGTGTGTTAATAAATCAACAGATGTCTGTCCATCTGTTCCCAATGGTATCGGTACTCCGATCTGTCTGAGAGTGGATCAGTGGTATCGGTACTCCGATCTGTCTGAGAGTTGATCAGTGGTATCGGTACTCAGATCCGTCTGAGAGTTGATCAGTGGTATCGGTACTCAGACCTGTCTGAGAGTTGATCAGTGGTATCGGTACTCAGATCTGTCTGAGAGTTGATCAGTGGTATCGGTACTCAGATCTGTCGGAGAGTTGATCAGTGGTATCGGTACTCAGATCTGTCTGAGAGTTGATCAGTGACGTGACATTAAAACTAGACCCTACATGTATGTTAATTCTATTTGTTTCCTTCTCTATGGCCAACATGTGACATTTTTACACCTTGCAGAGTGAGGCACCCTGGGTAACAAGACTTTGTCTGTGTATGTGTATGGGACCATCTCAAAAGAAATGACAGAGCCACCCAGGGCAGTATAACCACCCGAAAATATCAAGCCCAGGATTTGCTATCGACCCATCAGAGATTTGTGTTCGAGAAGGGCTGAAAATTTGTACACACACACCAAATTGGAACTTTGTATGATCATTCATTTTCAAAGTTACCATTCAAACAATTCAAATTAAGCAGAATTGTAAGCAATGGTGACCATGACCACTGGCAGACCAAGCCTGACATCAGTAAGGTTCCTCACATCAGCTGTTATTATGTGAATAAGTACAACCCACACACCTACAGACAGACAGACGCCCACTCCGCATGACGGCTAAAATTAAGGGGGATACAATTTTTTTAAAAAGCATTTCTAAATTTAAAAATATTAATCAATAAGCTTATAGATCTAGCTAAAATATGGCAACATTCTAAAACAAATCAGGATTATAAAAGTTTAAAAAATAAAATAATATTCATTTATAGGCCATTCCTAAATTTACATTAACCATGATTGCTATCACACTTTGTTTTATTTGTCAACGTGCAACTAGATGTTCGCTAGCTTTTATCGCCAGTATGCTATTGTTTGTACATAGTGCACACATCGTTTAGACGTTGCACACCATGTAACATCGTGTGATCTCAAAACTGTTTTATACAGTAAAAACAAGTACTATACAGTAAATATACTTGTAAGCCCTATATAGTAAATATAACCATACACAGTACAGTATACAGTCCATATAACCACTATACAGTAATATAAATACTAATAATCTGTAAGGTGATGCTCAAAAACAAATTTTTACACTGATACTGCAAAAACCAGTTTAATCTCTTCATTACATTATGGGATGGATCCAAACAGCACAATACTTTACGGCTACAGCACCATACCAATCCCAGTAAATTACAGGGTAAAGCTGTTTAGGTCAAGCACCATACCAAACCCTGTAAATTACAGGGTTAAGCTGTTTAGGTATTGAATAATTATTCTTGTATCTCATAAAACTGTTCCATATCAGCCTAGAAAAATATTTTCCATCTTAAAATCCAGAGATAAAATTTTCACAGAAAATTTGCTTTACATAAAAACAGTTGAAAAAATTGCATTCATGTGCCATTTCCCCTACTGTGACATAAATACATACATAGTCACAACCAGTTCAATAATGAAAATACAATGTGGAGTTTTGTTCGTATTTCACTTCTTCATCAACAAATATGAAACATTTTGAAGTTTTTAGCACTAGATCCTGTCTGTATTAAAAAAGCACCACTATTTCCTCCATCACGACACTGGTCCCTTAAAGTGCTGTTTCCTCGTGTCTCCGCCCTGAACCAAGCACACCCATGTCAGAGAGGCTCTGCTGACTACCACTGCCTCCTGTACCTTCAAATCTTGCCTGTTCCCGGCACTCATCCCTCACCCTCATCAGCAGCCTCTGCAGGTCACGATTGTTGGGGGCCAGGCGAGTGGCTTCCTTCAGGTCCTCCAGAGCTAAGTTACACTGTCGATTGTCGCGTTTGGCTCGCGCCCGTGCATAATATGCCTCAAAACATTTTGGCTTCAGCTCCAATGCCTTAGAAGCCAGGTCTATAGCAGAATCACACTCCTATAAAAAATAAAAATTCCCAGTGATAAAACAAGTAGTTCCAGTGATAAAACAAGTATTCTCTGTGATAAAACAACTAGTCCCTGTGATAAAACAACTAGTCCCTGTGATAAAACATCTAGTCCCTGTGATAAAACAAGTAGTCCCTGTGATAAAAACAAGTAGTCCCAGTGATAAAACAAGTAGTCCCAGTGATAAAACGAGTAGTCCCTGTGATAAAACAACTAGTCCCTGTGATAAAACAAGTAGTCCCTGTGATAAAACAACTAGTCCCTGTGATAAAACAAGTAGTCCCTGTGATAAAACTAGACTCATAAATTACTATCTTTTGAAGCAATGATATGTCAATAACTATTACATGATATTCACATTAAAGTTCAAATTTGACAGAATCTGAGCCCAATGGGCCACATTGATGTTTCTCTGAGGGGTTCATATTAAGATTACTCTATTCCCACTTGAAATTACTGACAGCTTTTATATAGTTATTTATACTTTATTGAGAGGAAAAGCTTTAAACATTTAAAAAAGAAAGAAAATCCACTCAAAAGCTTACTCTAACAAGAGGCCCAATAAGGCTGTATTGCTCAACTTTTATTCATCTAATTCAGTGATGATTTTATTTCCAGGTACTCTATACCTTTTGAATGTGTTGGAAAATTATTGACCTTACCTTCAATTTGATCTAGGTCATTCATTCAAACCCAATTAACACTTCAAAGGTCTTCACACCTCTAAGCTACATGCTAAACATCCCTAACCTAGGCCTCTTGGCTGGTCAGATGACCAAGTGCTCAAAGCTGACTTAACCTTAACACTTAACACTTAACACCTTAACACTTAAAAACACTCACAATATCTTATTAATGTATCATTGTTCTTGACCTTCTGGTTCAAGAAATTGACCCCTGTTACCTTGAAAGTCTGTCAAGTTCATTTATTTGAATAAATTTGATAGTCTTTCATTAACCATGGTACTTGCCAAGTATCCTTCTAGGCCTCTGGTTATGAAGAAGAATTTTTAATTAAATGTTTAAACACATTTGACCTCTGTGAAATTGTAAGTGGGTCAAGGTCTTTAACTCAAAAATTATAACTATAAAGCCCCTTATCCTAATATGCTTCTGGCCAAATTTTAAAGGAAAAGTTGCTGGATGGACAAATGAATGCCTCACCACGACTAAAGCTCACATGACTCTTTAAATTTGGGATTAGCTAAAACTGTTCGTTGTGAGATTACAATAGTAATACATTTCCTAGTTACATTACAATGTGATATACCATTGTATCTAAAACAATCACTTGACTGAACAAACTAAGTGATAAGTCCCTTGACTGAACAAACTAAGTGATCAGTCCCTTGACTGAACAAACTCAGTGATCAGTCAGTCACTTGACTGAAAAAACTAAGTGATCAGTCAGTCACTTGACTGAACAAACTAAGTGATCAGTCCCTTGACTGAACAAACTAAGTGATCAGTCCCTTGACTGAACAAACTAAGTGATATAACACAAAAAAAATTCCTTCAGATAAAACTAGCAATGAAACAATCAAAGTGAAAACATTAAAAGTTTTTTTTTACTCACATTGAGTTTGCGTTTACACCGGGAGAGGTTGAGAAGCAGGTTGAGTTTGAGGTCCTTAAAAGTACGTATATCCTCCCCGATGTCCTCCCGGGGGAACTTCTTGATGGCATAATGGTAGCGCTGGGCAGCATCCCTGATGCGGTTTTTCTTGTAAAGCACGTTGCCATCCTCCATGAGTTTGTTGAGTAAAAGGAGCATCATGTCTGGCTTACCTGACGCTACTGCCCATGTGGTTTGACCTGTAACACACCTCTTTTTCAGGAATACGGTACTCACAGACATGTTATCATACAAGTAATTCACTAACACTGACCGACAGTCCTGTATATCACCTACCAGTATGATGTCTGGACTGAATCACATGATATATTTATACTAGAACTGTAAGCCAAAGGCTAACTAATACCCCTGCTCCCAAATAAACTAGAACTGTAAGCTAAAGGCTAACTAATACCCCTGCTCCCATATAAACTAGAACTATAAGCCAAGGCTAACTAATACCCCTGCTCCCATATAAACTAGATCTATAAGCCAAGGCTAACTAATACCCCTGCTCCCAAATAAACTAGAACTGTAAGCTAAAGGCTAACTAATATCCCGAATCCCATATAAACTAGAACTGTAAGCCAAAGGCTAACTAATACGCCTGCTCCCAAATAAACTAGAACTGTAAGCTAAAGGCTAACTAATACCCCTGTTCCCTTATAAACTAGAACTGTAAGCCAAGGCTTACTTTTACCCCTGCTCCCAAATAAACTAGAACTGTAAGCTAAAGGCCAACGAATACCCCTGCTCCCATATAAACTAGAACTTTAAGCTAAAGGCTAACTAATACCCCTGCTCCCATATAAACTAGAACTGTAAGCTAAAGGCTAACTAATACCCCTGCTCCCATAAAAATTAGAACTGTACGCTAAAGGCTAACTAATACCCCTGCTCCCATATAAACTAGAACTGTAAGCTAAAGGCTAACTAATACCCCTGCTCCCATATAAACTAGAACTGTAAGCCAAGGCTAACTTATACCCCTGCTCCCAAATAAACTAGAACTGTAAACTAAAGGCTAACTAATACCCCTGCTCCCAAATAAACTAGAACTGTAAACTAAAGGCTAACTAATACCCCTGCTCCCAAATAAACTAGAACTGTAAACTAAAGGCTAACTAATACCCCTGCTCCCAAATAAACTAGAACTGTAAACTAAAGGCTAACTAATACCCCTGCTCCCAAATAAACTAGAACTGTAAACTAAAGGCTAACTAATACCCCTGCTCCCAAATAAACTAGAACTGTAAGCCAAGGCTAACTAATACCCCTACTCCCAAATAAACTAGAACTGTAAGCCAAGGCTAACTAATACCCCTACTCCCAAATAAACTAGAACTGTAAGCCAAGGCTAACTTATACCCCTGCTCCCATATAAACTAGAACTGTAAGCCAAGGCTAACAAATACCCCCACTCCCATATAAACTAGAACTGTAAGCTAAAGGCTAACTAATACCCCTGCTCCCATATAAACTAGAGCTGTAAGCTCAAGGCTAACTAATACCCCTGCTCCCATATAAACTAGAACTGTAAGCCATGGCAAACTAATACTCCTGCTCCCATATAAACTAGAACTATAAGCCAAGGCTAACTAATACCCCCACTCCCATATAAACTAGAACTGTAAGCCAAGGCTAACAAATACCCCCACTCCCATATAAACTAGACCTGTAAGCCAAGGCTAACAAATACCCCCTATCCCATATAAACTAGACCTGTAAGCCAAGGCTAACAAATACCCCCTATCCCATATAAACTAGACCTGTAAGCCAAGGCTAACTAATAATGAAATTCAGCTGAAAACTATAGGAGTTGTATTCAGTGTCTTTCAACGTAGTACATTACACATGTTTCACATAATACTCTGGACAGAACTTATATGGAGTGGCTTAACGCTTAACCCTAAGAAAGTTGGTCCAAATTTTAAGACATGCAAGAGTGTGTAACATCACATAATGGGAAAGTGTTATGCCAAGTTTGAAAGAAATCCTTTCAGTGCTGTATAACATACACTGGACCTATATTCTGGATGAGAAATTTAACAAGAGGCCCATGGGCCTTTACGATCACCCGAGTTCTACAGTATTTATTTTTGTTTTTGAAATATGAAGTGGAGATAATGATGTCAATCATTCCTACCAATTTGAGTAAAAAATAGTTAAGTATAACGTTAAGTTAAGTTTATTAGGACCATGAGTTGATCATTCCTACCATGTTTCAGTTAAATCAGCCCAGTCAAACTTGACTAAGTTTGAAATAGTTTTTTTCAAAATGGCAGCCGTGACGGCTATATTGGATTTTTGATCAGCCCCAGCTAAAGCTCAGGTGACCTAACAAAAAGGGGCATAACTCTAAGAAATGTTGTCGAAATATCATATCATAGGGAAGTAATATGCTCAGTTTGAGAGAAATTCCTTCAGTAATTTTTTTAAGATATATTTAACATAATATTCCGGTCAGACAGGATGATTCAGATATACCCCCACTATCTTCATTACAGGGGTATAATAAAGGTTAAGTACAGACTATCAGTCAGTATTGACCTCCTAGTTAGGCTACTATATATGACAATTTCATATTGTTATCTCACCTGGACCAAAGGGCCAACTCAGGTATATGATAAAGGACCTGAACCTCTAGATTATATGTTTGTATATCTCTAACTGAAAAGCTGCAGAAGGAAGAACACTTAAAATGAAACACATTACATCCCTCCGATGTTTGATAGGTTAATAAAAAGTCATAAATATACCTAGTTTGGCGCCTTTCTTTAGGAAGCAGACCACCACGGATGTGTTCCTGCGGTCAATTGCACGATCAAGAGCTCGCATACCATTGAGGTCAGCATGCTCTATCGGAGCTCCACGGTCTATAAGAGCCTGAACAACCTGAGCATCACCATGGAAGGAAGCCAGCTGTAGAGGTGTGCGTCCACACCTGTCTGTGTGATGAAGATTTGAACCTCGATCCAGCAGCGTCGATATGATGTGAAGGTGGCCTTTCAGACAACCCCAGCACAGTGATGTTAGGCCCTCTTTGTCCACCTGGTGAAAGGAGCAGCCTGGGGACATACAGGGAAAACTACATGTATAGTCACTGATGACTGCTGTTTTATCAAAATTGCATTTTAAAAATGAGACTGGTATGAAATTGTGTACTCTTAAGTTTATTAACCGTTTACCCTTTAGTGTATTTACTGTTATCCTTTAGTTTATTAACAATTACCCTTTAGTTTATTTACCGTTACCCTTAAGTATATTTATTGTTTCCCTTTAGTTTATTTATTATTTCCCTTTAGTTTATTTACCTTAACCCTTTAGTTAATTTACTGTTACCCTTTAGTTAATTTACTGTTTCCCTTTCGTTTATTTACCTTTCCCCCCAAATTTATTTATCATTTCCATTTAGTTTATTTATTGTTCCCCTTTAGTTTATTTACCGTTCCCCTTTACTTTATTTACTGTAACCCTTTAGTTTATTTACCGTTACCCTTTAGTTTATTTACCGCTATCCTTTAGTTTATTTATCATTACCCTTTAGTTTTATTTATCGTTACCTTTAGGTTATTTATTGTTTCCCTTTAGTTTATTTTCTGTAACCCTTTAGTTTAATTACCGTTCCCCTTTCCTTTATTTACTGTAACCCTTTAGTTTATTTACCGTTACCCTTTAGTTTATTTATCGTTACCCTTTAGTTTATTTATCATTACCCTTTAGTTAATTTATTGTTTCCCTTTAGTTTATTTTCTGTTTCACTTTAGTTTATTTACTGTAACCCTTTAGTTTATTTACCGTTCCCATTTACTTTATTTACCGTTTCCCTTTAGTTTATTTACCGTTCCCCTTTACTTAATTTACTGTAACCCTTTAGTTTATTTACCGTTACCCTTTAGTTTATTTATTGTTACCCTTTAGTTTATTTATTGTTACCCTTTAGTTTATTTACCGTTCCCCTTTACTTTATTTACCGCTCCCCTTTACTTTATTTACTGTAACCCTTTAGTTTATTTACCGTTACCCTTAAGTTTATTTATTGTTACCCTTTAGTTAATTTATTGTTTCCCTTTAGTTTATTTTCTGTTTCACTTTAGTTTATTTACTGTAACCCTTTAGTTTATTTACCGTTCCCCTTTAGTTAATTTATTGTTTCCCTTTACTTTATTTACCGCTCCCCTTTACTTTATTTACTGTAACCCTTTAGTTTATTTACCGTTCCCATTTACTTTATTTACCGTTTCCCTTTAGTTTATTTACCGTTCCCCTTTACTTAATTTACTGTAACCCTTTAGTTTATTTACCGTTACCCTTTAGTTTATTTATTGTTACCCTTTAGTTTATTTATTGTTACCCTTTAGTTTATTTACCGTTCCCCTTTACTTTATTTACCGCTCCCCTTTACTTTATTTACTGTAACCCTTTAGTTTATTTACCGTTACCCTTAAGTTTATTTATTGTTACCCTTTAGTTAATTTATTGTTTCCCTTTAGTTTATTTTCTGTTTCACTTTAGTTTATTTACTGTAACCCTTTAGTTTATTTACCGTTCCCCTTTAGTTAATTTATTGTTTCCCTTTACTTTATTTACCGCTCCCCTTTACTTTATTTACTGTAACCCTTTAGTTTATTTACCGTTCCCATTTACTTTATTTACCGTTCCCCTTTACTTTATTTACCGTTCCCCTTTACTTTATTTACCGCTCCCCTTTACTTTATTTACTGTAACCCTTTAGTTTATTTACCGTTACCCTTAAGTTTATTTATTGTTACCCTTTAGTTTATTTATTGTTACCCTTTAGTTTATTTACCGTTCCCCTTTACTTTATTTACCGTTCCCCTTTACTTTATTTACTGTAACCCTTTAGTTTATTTACCGTTACCCTTAAGTTTATTTATTGTTACCCTTTAGTTAATTTATTGTTTCCCTTTAGTTTATTTTCTGTTTCACTTTAGTTTATTTACTGTAACCCTTTAGTTTATTTACCGTTTCCCTTTAGTTAATTTATTGTTTCCCTTTACTTTATTTACCGTTTCCCTTTAGTTAATTTATTGTTTCCCTTTAGTTTATTTTCTGTAACCCTTTAGTTTAATTACCGTTCCCCTTTCCTTTATTTACTGTAACCCTTTAGTTTATTTACCGTTACCCTTTAGTTTATTTATTGTTACCCTTTAGTTTATTTATTGTTACCCTTTAGTTTATTTACCGTTCCCCTTTACTTTATTTACCGCTCCCCTTTACTTTATTTACTGTAACCCTTTAGTTTATTTACCGTTACCCTTAAGTTTATTTATTGTTACCCTTTAGTTAATTTATTGTTTCCCTTTAGTTTATTTTCTGTTTCACTTTAGTTTATTTACTGTAACCCTTTAGTTTATTTACCGTTCCCCTTTAGTTTATTTATTGTTTCCCTTTACTTTATTTACCGCTCCCCTTTACTTTATTTACTGTAACCCTTTAGTTTATTTACCGTTCCCATTTACTTTATTTACCGTTTCCCTTTAGTTTATTTACCGTTCCCCTTTACTTTATTTACCGTTTCCCTTTAGTTAATTTATTGTTTCCCTTTACTTTATTTACCATTACCCTTTGGTTAATTTTCTGTTTCACTTTAGTTTATTTACTACTACCCTTTAGTTCATTTACCTTTAACTGTTAGTTTTTTTGTTACCATTAACCTTTAGTTTATAGCTACAAACTATCAAGCCAAGTTAAAAGCATTAGACTCACCTTTGCTCAGCAACATTTCCAGCACGCCTATGTGTCCCTTGTAGGCGGCGATCATGAGGGGTGTGCGACCGTACTTGTCTGTGTGTTCCAGGACTGCACCGGCAGCCATCAGAGTCTCAACAAGGTCCCAGTGTCCCGCGTCCACGCTGCACAGTAATGGTGAGAAGGACTTGTTGTTTGGCAGATGAGGTGTTGCCCCTTTTTCCAGCAGGTACTGCACCAAGGCCTGTTGGCCATGACCGCAAGCAGCTGTCAGGGCTGTAATGAAAAGGGTGGGTAGTTTTGTTATAGTTGTGAACTTAATCCAAGTTTTTATAGTTAGTATATATGTTATAGTCTTTTATAGACCATTTAAGTGTTTCTGTATGTAAATTAGGGACAAAGCTTTGCTGGGGTTTTATTTAAACCTGACATTTCTGCTGTTTTCATTGAGAGCTGGTAATGTCTAATTGACAATTATGTTTTAACACGAAATTTGAACCCTGAAAATTTCTTCCAAAAACAGAAATGTGAAAGTTTGATCTTCATATTTTAAGCAATATACTGAATCTATATAGTGGGTCTAGGAAGCATTTATTCTGAACTTGGTTATGTTGAATATTTGAAGTTGACTTATAGAAAATTTGGTATTCAAAGACAGACAATTCTTGAAAAAAAAAAGATTTCTATCACAATGACTATGAGAAATGTTGTAAACATACGTGTTTCTCCTAAAAGTGTGTCAACACTGTTCAGACCGAACCCTTCATAACTGTGAACACTTGAGTGTAGTAGGTAGTCACAAATCTGAAAAGACAAAAACTATCAATTACATGTTCCACAATACGGTGCAGCAAACTTACACATGGGAATAAAGAGAGTTGGCTTGTTATAAAGCCGTTACAAAGCATGAAAACATGTCACTATCATCATCTGTGCAAGGTTTACACAGTTGACTGATCTGGACAATAATATAAAAGAAGATAGTTTTGTTCCATTACAAACTGAAATTAATTCTGTTCTAATATGTTTAGGCTTCATTTCATTCCATTCCCTTTGCCAATTAAAATGCTGATCATGTCACTGCTGTAACCATGGAGCAGGCTAGGGGATATTTACACCCCTATAACCACGGAGCAGGCTAGGGGATATTTACACCCCTGTAACCACGGAGCAGGCTAGGGGATATTTACATTCCTGTAACCATGGAGCAGGCTAGAGGATATTTACATTCCTGTAACCATGGAGCAGGCTAGGGGATATTTACATTCCTGTAACCATGGAGCAGGCTAGAGGATATTGACACCCATATAACCACGGAGCAGGCTAGGGGATATTTACATTCCTGTAACCATGGAGCAGGCTAGAGGATATTGACACCCCTGTAACCACGGAGCAGGCTAAGGGATATTTACACCCCTGTAACCACGGAGCAGGCTAGAAGATATTTACACCCCTGTAACCAGGGAGCAGGCTAGGGGATATTTACATTCCTGTAACCAGGGAGCAGGCTAGAGGATATTGACACCCCTGTAACCACAGTGAAGGCAAGGGGATATTTACACCACTGTAATCACGGGGTAGGCTAATGGATATTTACACCCCTGTTCTATGGTAGAGGACTGAAGCTGCCACTAGATATAGAAGAATTTGTAGAATTATATGTTTATATTTATAATAGTTATGTATCTTTTCCTTTAGCTGAGGCCGAAGCTGCCTCTAGGAAGATTTTACAATTTTGATACATACGTTTATGTGGCCAAGGGCTGAGGCTGCCACAAGGGCTTGCTGCATGGCCTCAACCTTCGTCAACTGTCCATCATATGATGACCAATCACATTGCAGCAGGTACTCTAGGGCCTCCAGGTGACCGTGCATGGCTGCGTGGACTGCTGGACACTGACCGTTGTTGTCTACATGGGACAACTGTATACAAACAAAACAATCATTTCAGACAGAAATACAAAGGAAATTTACAATTAGGTTTCAATAATATTCTGAATTGAAAGACAAGATCTCAGAGGATCTTGGCGTTGACCAAGTTTAAAATTTTAACAAGATCTATGTAAGTTTGATATTTTCCCTTCCCTTTTGGATTATGTGAACAGATAAATGTATCTTGTGATAATTTCTGAAAAATATTGTACTGCTTTGTTCGACAGTGTTGTTTAAAAGTGAGGTAGTCATTTTGACAAATCTATATGCACTAGCATATATATGTAGTAACTAATGTATCAAGTTACCGAGTGAGAAACCTGATTGTCTTGCTGTCTTATATATATCTGGTAATAGGCAGTTTGAAGTTCAAAATGAAATAAATATAAACTAGGGAAGAGGAAGAACCAACTTATGAAATTTGAGAAGGAAAAGATCTGTCAAGTATATTTTGAGAAAGAGTGATAAAAATCTTTAAATGTCAAAATCAGAGATAGATGTCTGGGGGCCATCATGTTCCTCCTATCAGTTTCAAAATAAAACATACACAACTAACAATCAAGGGGTAACTTTAAATGAAGAAACTTTGTCAGGTATTTTTTTGCAGAAATATCATCAATAATAAACTTGAAACAGAAATGTAGACGTATTCCCCCATCTGCGCCAAGGAATGTAGGAATTGTTCTTTTGGTGCATAATTTTAAAAAGTGTCTGAAGTCACTTTTTTTATTCACATTTGTTTATATTCAAGATTCCCTCCCCCTGCTGAACCTCACTGTGGTGGGTATAACTATTTGAAAACCAAGGTGTATGTAAGGTGGCCATCTTATTCTCGTCAGTCTCAAATTAAACCATAAACAACCAAGGGAAATCTATTTATGAAGAAACGATTGTCAGATACTTTTTGAGAAATAATTGTAGCAAAAACAAGAACCGTTCAAGAATGAACAAATGGTGGTTTGATCAGCTTATCATCTGATGATGTGATCATTGATGTTGGTCAAAAATTTCAACATGTAATCGATGACAGATAGTTATACCTCTAACATTTATATAGAGTCCCTGTGGAATAAAGGTAGTAAATTTTATTCAAAGACATCTTGTCCTACTTAAAATATAACGTCAAGGAACCATATAGGGATTGAGCAGCGTTTTTTTAAAATTCATACTGGTATGAACGCAAATCAGATACATCCATATTGCATAAAGCCTGCTAGTGCTTCATGTTTTATATGGATGTAATCGATTTGCATTCATACCACCATGAAAATTTTAAAAACGCTGTTCAATCCATATATTTACATTTTTACTTTAGAATAATTGTTTCATTTTATTTATTTATTTGTTCTTAAATAATTATTGAATTTACTGCGTTTTGTATATGCGTCGTCCTTTAAACGACTTTGCAGAACAGCCTTATTTGAATCAAATTATAATAATTAATCGTAGTCATTTGAGCGTTTAACGCAGGGGCATTCTCCATGTTATCCGAAGCGAAGCGACAAGACTCTCATTGAACAAGGTTAATCTAAGACGTCATAAGTAAACCACATGTTACGTCACGAGAGTTTATGCTTTCATACTCGAATGAAAAGCATTTCTGCTGATAATGTTCATATAGTGGGTTGCAGCGCAAATGCAAATATAAAGTTATAATAAACATTGAACAGGATGATAACCACCACAGCTTACCCTGGCATTATGGAGACACAGCATCCTCATGATGTCCCTCTGCCCTGAAGCTGCAGCGTAACACAACGCTGACATTCCAGTCTCGGACACGGCGTCAACATTGGCATGGAACTCCAACAGGAGAGCAACCATGTCTGAGAATCCCTCCTGGGCTGCCACACACAACACGGGGGCTGCACTCTGGTATTGGGTACGCGAGTTAGGATTGGCACCAGACAGCAATATCAACCGACTCACCTGCAAACACATACCAATTATAAAATAATTTGAACAATGAAAATAATATTTTCAGAAAACAAAAGCCATCAATTTAAACATAAACAAGAGATCCAAGAAGGATTGGTGCCCAGCATCGTACCATCTTCATTAGTTCTATGTCAGTTTGATCTTTTCTCTTTTTTTCTCGTATCTGTTCGACCAGTTTGCCTGTCCACCATTTTATTCAGTCATTTGATCAACCTCGAAAGTTAACATTCTCAACTAAGGACCAAGGAAAACCTACATATCAAATTTGAGAAAGATTCCTCTTGGTTTTGTGATCAGTCCCAAAAAACGATATGCATAACTAGGGGCCATGGGGAACATTCATGTGAAATCTCAGAATGATTTCTCCAGTACTTTCTGAGAAATAGCGGTAACACACTTTAATTCTCTAATTCAAGATGGCGGCCTGTTGGCTATCATTTGATATGCATAACTAGGGACCATGGGAAACCTTCATGTGAAATTTAGGAAAGATCTCTCCAGTACTTTCTGAGAAATAGCGCTAACAAGAATTGTTTAAGGATGGAAGGACCACGGATGCAGGGTGATTTGTTTTATGACAGATTCCGACAATGAAATGGGATCAGTACCAATGATATTGACATGGATATACTGATCATGATTATAACACTGGGAAAATATACTGATAATGATTATAACACTGAGAAAATGTACTGATAATGATTATAACACTGGGAAAATATACTGATAATGATTATAACACTGGGAAAATGATCATGATAGGGAGAAACTGATTACATCAGGGGGATACTGATTATTTAACAACAAAGATATTGATTATGAAGTGACAGACATTGATTACGATTTATATGGGGTGCTGACCTTGACATTAGGAGAGTACAGGTTTCTGTATGACACAAGTGCAGTGTTCAGACTGTCTGAGCTAAGTGACATCCAATAGGCCTGCATGTCCCGTGAGGAGTAGCCACGCTGTTTACTGATGTTCTTGTAGATGTGGGCCTTTAGTATGTGGTGACCCAACTCGATCGTCCTGTCTTCATTGAGGGGGGCACTCAACCGTGACAGCTTAAACGCCATGAGGGCATGCCCTTGTCTGAAACACAGATAACATACATTGTTAGCATCGACAGCACCATTTACAGCTTCACTTGCCCAGACAATGTTATTTTAATAATAGGGAGAGGTGTACATGTCCTCACATTACTTCCATACAATGAGGACGTACAACAGAGGCAAAAGTAATGTTTGTTTCCCTTGCACTATTTGCTAAAATTTCTGACAAACTCTGCCAGTTAGGATCTTTATGTGTGACATGTATTAAAAAGAATCTGTTATTTTTCCAAAGGATATTAATAAACCGATTCCTGTTTTTTCATAACCTTGATATATTATACATAGTGTATTGAAATAAAAGATATCAGGCACTCCATGTCAGCAAGCTTCTGGTCATATATCATAATTCTATGTATTCTATAGGTTAAAATAATTTCTGTTCGCAAAGTTCATGGTACTCTATACCAGCAAGCTATCACCTATATATAACAAATCTAGATAGTTTGGTTTTGCAGGATTAACCATTGAAGACTTTGAAAGGTTTTGATTTCTGTGGTCTTAATTACGTTATTTCATTTCTTTTTTTACTAGCAAAACATTATGATCCTAAGCTTTTAAGCTCTTCAAAAGAAGTCATTATGATTTCAATATATTTGACCCCTGTGACCTTAATAAATTTCATTGTCATATTTGTTTACAAATGGCTTTGACACTTACCGTAGATCGCAGAGAAACTTTGGGTTATCAGCATCATCTCTACGAATTAACCACTCCCTGAACGCTGGGTGAACAAACACGTAGGAGCTATCCTTCCTCTGGTACATAAATCCTGACAACACGTCCAGTCGGTTCTGAAAGTCCTGCCACGACAGGAAGTGATCTGTGTATCCAGAATTCACGGTCTCGAAAATCTCTGTGGCAGTGAGAGGATACAGCGTGGCAAGACACACACCCAAAATGGGCGACACTTTCTCAAACGACCGCACACTCGGGAATTTCAGATTAAAATGTAATAAATAAACTTCAGATATATTCATGGGTAAGATCTTGTAGTTTGTACTCTTCAATACCACACTGCCTTTTTCTATCAAGTCCAGGGTTAACTTGGTGTACAGGTAGGAGCCTTTACTCAACATCTGTAAATGATTGCAGAATTTGACTTGCGTTGATAACTCCAGCTTTCCGTTGAGAGCGATATTGTTTTTGATACTAGCACACGTCTCTATCCTATGGTTGATGTAATCTTGTATGTCCCGTGCAATGGCTTCCTCATACTGACCACGGTCAATACTCACGTGGTAATACGGCAGGGACCGTGTGATGTCCTGGAGAACACTCTGAACTGTAATCACCAGCTTTAGCCACAAGGGAAACTCTTCTGCGTAACGCACAAGGAATGATGCAATTGTGTCTCCATAATCTGGTTTGTGGAACTCGGCCTCGTTCAAAGAGTCTATGAGAATAAGACAACATCCGGACGCTAGGCGTCCTGCATCCTTGAGAGAGATGAGGGGTTCAATGATACCCTTGATGAAGGCTGTAGATGGATTCTGTACACACTCCTTCAGGCTGAGTACATGCTGCAACTGCGGGTCTTGAAGTAACATTTCCCGATATGCAGACAGCTGTGGGGCATGGGACATGCGCGCTGCCAGGCTGTGGATAAACTCAGGCACCAGACAGGTGGTATTGTTATCTGCCTGACAGAAATGGAAACCTACAACCTCGGAAGCTAAGTTACGGAGGGAGTTGTAATTGAGACTGAGGTCAGAACTGGGGCGGTACTGCGGTGTCATATGGTTGAGTGTGGAGGTCGGGCTGTAGTTAACACCGTTGTGGAATGCTTTGTCTCGACTCATGCGATGACCCATACCTGGAGGCAAATTCATTAAAATTTTGATTAGTTCTTTGAGTTTTACAAAGTAGGAAATGAATATTTATATGGATGAATCATCCGATGTGATGTAAAAACTTAAATGATTGAATGCTTTTAATTTACAAGTATAAACACTCATTTAAATTAATGACAGATTTTAAAACGAGAGGCCCAGGGGCCTTAATAGCTCACCTGGTATATTATTTTTCAATTTAAAACCTGCTGAGTACCATTCAGGTTTATCAAAGGAGTACAAGAGTTGCAAGAAGAACTACATATAAATCTGTTTTGGTGGGAAAGACACCAAGGGAGGGCACATCTTCCATTTATAAATATTCAATTCCCTTTGCCCAAAGATTCTCTAGAACTAGTTTAGTTAGGACAAAATCCCTTCAACGGTACAGAAGGAGAAGGATCTTTAATGTTTTCCTCTATTTCCCCTAATGGGCCCCACTCATCTGCCCCAAAGAAGGGGGTCCACACACCTCAGTTTAAACAAAATTGATTCTTTTGTCCCAAAGCATGCTTCAGACTGCATTTGGTTTAAATCCCTTCACTTGTGTATAGTAGGAGAAAAAAAGTCCTCTATTTCCCCTATTGGGCCCTGCCCTATGCCCCCAGAGGGCCCACACCCTCCGTGTATACAAACTTGAGGCTCCTTTGTCCAAAGATGCTCTAGAACAAATTTGGTCAAAATCCTTCTATTGGTTGAGAGGAAGATTTTTTTTAAAGATTTACCTATTTTCCCTCTATTTGGCCCCGTCCCTCTGCCCCCACAGGGATCATACCCTCCGTTTATACAAAACTGAGAACCCTTTGGCCAATGATGCTCCAGACCAAATTTAGTCAAAATCCCTTCATCGGTACAAAAGGAGAAGAATCTTTGATGTTTTCCTCCATTTCCCCTAATGGGTCCCACCCATTTGCCCCAAAGAAGGGGGCCCACACACCTCAGTTTATACAAAATTGATTCTTTTTCCTTAATCATGCTTCAGACTGCATTTGGTTTAAATCCCTTCACTTGTATAGTAGGAGAAAAAAATACTCTCATTTCCCCTATTGGGCCCCGCCCCCAGAGGGGCAACACCCTCCGTTTATACAAACTTGAGTCTCCTTTGTCCAAAAATGCTCTAGGACAAATTTGGGCAAAATCCTTCAATTGGTTGAGAAGGAGAAGATTTTTAAAGATTTACCTATTTTCCCCTATTTGGCCCCGTCCCTCTGCCCCCAGGGGGACCATACCCTCCGTTTATACAAAACTGAGAACCCTTTGGCCAATGATGCTCCAGACCAAATTTGGTCAAAATCCTCTGAGCCGTTCTGGACTAGTAGCGTTTTAAAGGTCTTTTAAGGAATGGAAAGTTTAAAGATGGCACTGGTTTCATTATTCCTAAGGAATGGCAAGTTTAAGGATGGCACTGGTTTCATTGTTTCTAAGGAATGGCAAGTTTAAGGATGGCATTGGTTTCATGGTCCCTAAGGAATAGAAAGTTTAAGGATGGCACTGGTTTCATTATTCCTAAGGAATGGCAAGTTTAAGGATGGCACTGGTTTCATGGTCCCTAAGGAATAGAAAGTTTAAGGATGGCACTGGTTTCATGGTCCCTAAGGAATGGAAAGTTGAAGGATATTTAGCAACATTGAAAATATTCCATAACTTATCAAGAGCAGAGTTCTGCCTTGATAAGTCGATTATTTGGAGACTGACATCCTGTCATATTCAAGATGGTTTTTTTCTTACAAGGCTGAATATTGAACTTGTACAACTGAGAAGCAGGAAACCTACATGTGATATTTGAGAAAGAACTTGATCTGTGTAGTTTTAGTAGTTGTAGTTTACGTGTAAATGGACATCTAATTGAAACCTGTTTTGTACAACTTTTTTCCCCTTCAAATCGGTCATTTAAAATGTCTTTTGCAGTAACAGAAGATACATGTTGCCCATTTTCCCCATACTTGACCTATAACAAGAAGTCATGATTTTGTCGGAGCATTTCTGATTACCTTCCACAAGGCCGCTAGAAGAGCCATCATGGAAACAGCTGAAGTGTACGAGTTGCTCAATGAGAGTGGTCTTTCCAGCCCCTATGCCTCCAGTGATCACCACTCCTCGTGTATCCTTCCCAACCTCACTGTGTAGAATCTGTTCAACCAATCATATACAGTCTTTACTTTGTAGGAACATTTTATGGATATCAGATAATGAATGCAGAGATAATGAAACTCAATTGGCCAGTCAAGTGAACTTACAATGTTGAAAAGTTTGAAAGATATGTCTTCACAAGAATTATAGAGAATTGACACTTACCACTAGCAGTGCCCTTGACCTTGGCAGTATGAATTATTTTGTGGTCTAATTATGATTTTACTGAATCATGTTGAACTGTTCAGAAATTTTTATCTGTACAAGGAAAAAAAAGATTTGATTTGGTTCTGAACATGTCTTTGGTATGTGACAACACTGTAGGGTTTGTGACAACACTGTATGGTATATGACAACACTGTATGGTATGTGTCAACACTGTATGGCATATGACAACACTGTATGGTATGTGTCAACACTGTATGGTATATGACAACACTGTGTGGTATATGACAACACTGTGTGGTATGTGTCAACACTGTATGGTATATGACAACACTGTAGGGTATGTGTCAACACTGTTTAGTATGTGTCACCACTGTGTGGTATATGACAACACTGTGTGGTATGTGTCAACACTGTATGGTATATGACAACACTGTATGGTATGTGTCAACACTGTATGGTATGTGTCAACACTGTGTGGTATATGACAACACTGTGTGGTATGTGTCAACACTGTATGGTATATGACAACACTGTATGGTATGTGTCAACACTATAGGGTATGTGTCAACACTGTTTAGTATGTGACAACACTGTGTGGTATGTGACAACACTGTATGGTATGTGTCAACATTGTATGGTATGTGTCAACAGTTTGGTTTGTGACAACACTGTATGGTATGTGTCAACACTGTATGGTATGTGTCAACACTGTTTAGTATGTGACAACACTGTGTGGTAAATGTCAACATTGTATGGTATGTGTCAACACTGTATGGTTTGTGACAACACTGTATGGTATATGTCAACACTGTATGGTATGTGACAACACTGAAGGGTATGTGGCAATACTGTTTGGTATGTGACAACACTGTATGGTATGTGTCAACATTGTTGGTATGTGTCTTTATTGTATGGTATGTGACAACACAGTATGGTATGTGACAACACTGTACGGTATGTGACAACACTGTACGGTATGTGACAACACTGTGTGGTATGTGACAACACAGTATGGTATGTGACAACACAGTATGGTTACTGTCAACACTGTATGGTATGTGACAACACTGTATGGTATGTGACAACAATGTATGGTATGTGACAACACTGTATGGTATATGACAACATTGTGTGGTATGTGACAACAATGTATGGTATGTGACAACACTGTAGGGTATGTGACAACACTGTATGATATGTGTCAACACTGTATGGTATGTGACAACACTGTAGGATATGTGACAACAATGTATGGTATGTGACGACACTGCATCCCCTGTGTTGTGTATGACACACCGTGAGGTATAAGACATCCCCCGTGTTGTGTATGACACACAGTATGGTATAAGACATCCCCTGTGTTGTGTATGACACACCGTGTGGTATAAGACATCCCCTGTGTTGTGTATGACATACCCTGAGGTATTAGACATTCCCTGTGTTGTGTGTGACACACCATGTGGTATAAGACATCCCCTGTGTTGTGTGTGACACACCATGTGGTATAAGACATCCCCTGTGTTGTGTATGACACATCGTGTGGTATAAGACATCCCCTGTGTTGTGTATGACACACCGTGTGGTATAAGACATTCCCTGTGTTGTGTATGACACACCGTGTGGTATATGACCACCTCTGTGGTATATGACACACTGTGTGGTATGTTAAATAGGGTATGGTATATGACCATCATAATACACAAACCACATGTTTCATCCTAGAGAGGTGTATCCAGCAGTTATACAGGTGTGATGTGGACATGATTGATGTGGACAGGTAAGTGGTTAAGTGACAACAACATTTGTCCCAGTATTTTTGGGAAAGGTAAATCAGGCCAACTATGACATGGTACTGATGTCAACCAGACCTTATACTGTATACTGTTTTTAGAATTATATGCATTAGAACTTATATCTATTTCACTAAACTCCAAATCAGCTACATATTTACTACTTTTATCATTTAGTCAAAATTAAATTAAGGTTTTATCTTAACTCACCATTTCAAGTTCATTGAAGAGCCATTCCCTTCCAACAAAGTCTGTCTTGCTGTCAGTGTGAGGGACCTCCATTTCTAGTGGAGTGAGATGGACCTGTGGTGGTTTGATGGGCGTGATCCTCACTGTAATAAATACCCAGCTACTTATGTTAGACAGTCTAGTACCCAATGACCTTGTAGTGCTACAGGAAAACCAATAAATCACTCACATGTTACCCTTATAAAAAAAATAATACATTTCTTCAAAATATGTATAACAGACTAGATTTGTAGAACCTATCATTGTGTCCTACCTCTACTGTCGGAGTGACCAATGGTGGCCCGAGCTGACCGGCGGAATGAAGAACGACCTTTATTGAACAGTCCAAGATCCTCTATCTGGCCAGGTGTTGATGCTGCCAAACATTCACAAAAAAATAACATCAGGGTTACTTTAGAATACTCTAGGTTATAGTCAGGTATTAAATTAAATCATTCTTTCAAAAGGGTACGTTATAGAATAAACAAGGGTACGTTATAGAATAAACAAGGGTACGTTATAGAATAAACAAGGGTACGTTATAGAATAAACAAGGGTACGTTATAGAATAAACAAGGGTACGTTATAGAATAAACAAGGGTACGTTATAGAATAAACAAGGGTACGTTATAGAATAAACAAGGGTACGTTATAGAATAAACAAGGGTACGTTATAGAATAAACAAGGGTACGTTATAGAATAAACAAGGGTACGTTATAGAATAAACAAGGGTACGTTATAGAATAAACAAGGGTACGTTATAGAATAAACAAGGGTACGTTATAGAATAAACAAGGGTACGTTATAGAATAAACAAGCAGGAGACATCATTCTATTTCAAGATATATATGGTGCTGGTACAGGCAGGGGAGATGACTCACTTGTGATGGAGTGAGGGCGCTGTGCTGTGCTGTGCGGACTGGTGCTTGTGCTCATCAGTGAGGTCATGCTCTCAGAACTGTGGTCACGACTAGGAAACAGTGAGCCACACCCCATGTGTATACCTGACAGTCCCCGCTCGCTGCTGGACGATGCTGTAATAACGTCATGTACCAACATCTCAAATGTTATCAATCACATAGCTAGCCAACACTCAACATGTACATGCAAGGATCTACCTGGTAATACAATGCATACATGAAGGTCATATAGATTGTATATACCAAGGTCAAAGTATACACCAAGGTGGCATACAATGTTCACACAAGGAAAATATGGTGTCAACTTACCATGCAAGATAAAGAGTTTTTCTAATCCGTAACATTTATACAGTGTATAAAATATCCATACGGTTATATGATGATCTAAATAAGAACTGCACAAAATTATCTGCCTAAATCCTTGCTTTGTACATCAACAACAATTAGTCTGAAAATCAGATCAGAACATAACAAAAGGCCCAAGGGCCTTAACAGTCGCCGGAGTTGTCATACAAATACTTTTCATTGTCGAGACAAAAGTAGGAACAAGAGGCAAAGTATTTCCTATGGATTGAGGGAATTCCTAGCAATGGGGACACATTTTTTTTTTTTAAATTAAGCTTTATTATTCATCTCAGTGACATCAAATATAGATTTAGTTAAAACCTTTCAAAAAATTGTGGTTCAGACAACCTAAAAACGTTGAGAACAGCTTGATCGTTAGATATAATATATCGTTATTATAGTATTTTCTCTGGCAATAAGAATATCAAAATAAGCAGGTTCAACTGTAATATCCTTAAATAGTCAAAATGGTAAGACAATGAACATTTCACTTGCCAGGTTATAGGAATTTTGACAGTTTTGAGACTGAGAAATTCACCTGTGAGATACTGAGTTTTACCTGTGAGGTCATTACCTGTACTAAGAGTTTTACCTGTGAGGTCATTACCTGTACAACTGTACTAAGAGTTTTACCTGTGAGGTCATCATTACCTGTACAACTGTACTTAGAGTTTTACCTGTGAGGTCATCATTACCTGTACAACTGTACTAAGAGTTTTACCTGTGAGGTCATTACCTGTACAACTGTACTAAGAGTTTTACCTGTGAGAGTTGACATAGGACTGGTGTCAGAGATGCCATGCTCAGGAGTCGCCTCACCACTACCTAGGGATGACACACTGGTGAAAGTCTCCTCACTCTGGTTTACCATCTGGGAGTTTGGGGACATTGTGTCTGAACGATCGCCTAGCAGCAGCCCCAGACGTGTGATGAGGTCATTCTGGGCGACATCTGGTGCTGGCGGTGGAGGGCTTGTCTGGCCTACTGAAACCAGTTCATGTGTTCAGTTAATTAAGGTTAAAATAAAAACAAGGGACCCAGGGGCCTGAATCACTCATATGGATATTTATGCAATCATGCCAAAATATTCTCCTGAAATACGACAAATACTTCCCAATTTTCGCTCTGTCTCTTAGCATCGAGGTCCAAAGGATGCCTTATAGTAAATTTCATTGAAATAAAATAATAAACTATTCAGGAGTAGGCTTTCATATGCTTAAGTACCAAAGTTACAAAGTCCTCAGGGCAGCTACATTCTTCAATTCCTTTACATAACAATTAATTCCCAGGTCAAATGGACCAAAGATGTTTTATTGGAAATATGGTTTAGATCTATTTATATGTGTACATTGACATCGGGAGAAGATTTCAACTGTTACCATCTTTGGACCCAGAGACTAAGTTTCCTAGTTACATAAATGTGTTCATCTCTTCATATCCACCGAGCACATATTCAAGCATAGGGTAGAGATCTCAACCTTTTTCAAATTATGGATATTGGACTAAGACAACAAGGGAAACCAGAGCTGTAGGCTAAATTTGGTAGCATGACGAATGAATGAGCCCTATTAGGTTGTGACATGTACCTAGGCTAAGGGTATTGTCCAGCTCCAATGAAATACCCTCATTGCCTAACTTTGACAATTAGCTAACAGGTTGTGACATGTACTTTGACTGAGAGTATTGCCCAGCTCAAATGAAGTACCCTCAATGTCTAACTTTGACAATTCCCTAACAGGTTGTGACATGTATTTGGACAGAGAGTAATGCCCGGCTCCAAGGAAGTACCCTCAATGTCTAACTTTGACAATTCCCTAACAGGTTGTGACATGTATTTGGACTGAGAGTATTAATTGCCTGGCACCAATGAAGTACCCTCATTGTCTAACTTTGACAATTACCTAACAGGTTGTGACATGTACCTGGACTAAGGCTGTTTCCAGGCTCCAATGATGGACCCTCATTGTCTAACCTTGACAACTCATCAAGACTGTCTTTGGTTGTCGTAGCAGTAGTGTTTTGTCTGAGGCTTTGGGAGCCAATAACAGGGCTGCTGGTACGGCACTGGTAACTTGGCTCTGCCATGTAGTTTCGTGGCGGTGGAGGGGGTGGTGATGGTCTTGCAGGAGATGTTGGAGAGGTCAGAGGTCTGAAATATCGGGGTTTTGGTGGCACCACAGGCTGCTGCTGAAGACGAGATTCTGGATAATTAAAAAGAAATATTTGTCAGCAAACAACTAATATCTTACTTTGCTTTTGAGTCAAAGTAATACACAATACATATCCTAACTTTATAGAATTACGGTGAATTATCATATTTCAGCAGACAAAATACATTCTCAGATTGTTAAATGGCAGTAAGAGAGTCAGTGATTTAGAGGTAATGATTGTTGATAAAACCTACTTCACAAAAGAGGTCCAATGGGCCTGCATTGGTCACCTGAGGAATTGTGATTACAACAATCAGAATGACTTCTGGGATTCTGAATGCTATTACTGCACAATTCATCAAGGGTGTGTTCACAGGATGCTCTGTGTATATCTGTTATTACTATAAATACATAATTCTTTTACCAATAATTCTATGTTTGGTTATCTATTGTCTCAACCACGGCAGGGCAAGTTAACCACACGCTGACCAGTACGTACAGGCCATCCATCGGGAGTTGATATGTCAACGTTTACACAGCCATCACACTCCAGCTTGGTCTTATCAAGCTACACAACTCGACCATCACTTAACATACACTGGTTCAATGTATTCTTGCCATTTAAACCAGGTGTAATGATATAATGGATGTTAATTATAGTGCCTGTTGAACACGTAAAGACAGGTGACCGTTAAGTTAAACAGGTGACCGCTAATTCTAGTATTTGGATAAAGAGAGAGAGAGGAAGCTTTTTAACATTAAGTTGCCTACCTGGCAATTTGCCTTACAATGGACTTATCTGATGCCCTGCCTCTCTGATAGCCCAAGGGGTGCACCAAATTAATTTATACAAAAAATATTGCCCCATTAAAGTTTAGATAAATATTATAACAATCTGCAGCATCCTTCACGATTAGTAGGCTTGTGAACATAAAATTTACTGTGTTAGGTCCATGTCCCTTATATACCCCAACAGGAGGTTACAGCCTCCATTTAACATTTGCTATGCTATATGTACAAAACTCAATTTAATTGAAATCAAGTAAGCCCTTCAGGAGGAGGAGGAGGAGTCTGGAGACTGAAATCCACTAAATTTTACATGTTGGAATGTGTCCAACAGCCCTCGGGTAAACCTCACCCTTCTTTTACACAATGTCTGAAACTCTGGTCTCAAGGATGCAACATGACATTTTAACAGTTAACCACGAATGCTTTGGTGGCCTGTATATGTAAATATCTCCTTTACAAATCACAGGGCCGGTGGAATATCCTCACAACAATACGTAATCCACTCCCATTCCACTGTGGCATTACAAGCATGCTATGGTACGGGGTCGTGACCTGAAGTCAGTTCAATCTCCTGTACATGGGTATTCAAAGCTAAACAGTGCTGCCCGGTCCATTCTACGCAGGTTAAATTTAGTTACAGATCTTGAAGATTTAGGTCTGCACTACATCTCTCTGTCTCTCAAATCGGTCTAATGTTTAGGGTACGAACAATTGCTGACATTTAAAATTTTGTGTTATTGAACTCGGTTCATTTGAATCAAAGTCATTATGGTAGCTAGTTCCCACTATAGAATCACTATACATCTGTTACCCCTTGGTGGGCCCCAAGTTAGCCATTAATGTGATTAAATATGAACCAACGTCCTGTGACATTTTCTCCTCCAATATGGCTATGTTTTATAGTGAAAGACAAATGTCAGTGTGAAGTACTAAGTAGTATATATACATCACATATTGCTGTTCCATGAGTACAATTAAAATGACCTGAGAAATATTCCATTGTCAGCAGCAGATTATAACAAACTAGCACTATTCATAATTTTCTCAAATTTAAACAAAAATATTTCAAAATAGAACTTTCCATTTACTTTTTAAAAAACTGCACAAAGGTGAGGTGATAAATATGTCAGATTTGAACATTTTACACGTGCCTGTGCTAGGTTAGTCTGATTGACTTCAGTAGGTCAGTGGTATGTATGTAGCTGACAAGGTGTGTCCTGACTGACAGCACCATTCACCCCTGTATCAGTAATGGCTGCCAGGGTACAAATGTTCTTAAATATATATGTATATGGATAAAAGCCAACATTTACAAGACAGAACTTGTCAATGTTTGTTCTGTGACCTGTGAACCTCCGGTAGAGAAATAATGGTCTACTGCATTACTTTTCATAAAAGATATATTACTTTAATAACATTGTATCTGTTCAGTTGTCTTCTTTTGTAGCTGTTGCCTTCTTAAAAAGGAGACAGTTAAACAAGAGCCCAATGAACCTCACATTTTTCACTTTCAAAGTGGGTCAATGAAAATCCTTATTCTCTAAACCCAAATAGTAGGTGTTGCATAATTCTCAAATGGTCTGTAAGGTTTGTGTAAGGTTTAATGTCTTTGCACAAGCTTAAGTCATATGAAGAAAGGTTAGCAGGAGGTAGACCTAATGGAATCTATTCAACTATTATTCAAAGGAAAATAAATTTCAAAGTGCCAAGAGTTCTCGTCAATATTTTCATATAACTATCATCACAGCAGCTTGCATACCTTTAGTAGTGGTTTAAATACTATGCTGTTCACGTAACTTTGGGTGTACATTTCATTATGACAAATCAAATCTAAAAGACAATACAAAACTTATCCAGATTGTAAAATAACTACTTTAAGGCTATCTAATATTAAAGTTAAATTTTCAAAAATTAAATAATGAAATACTGTAAAAGTATATTTTTTTACTGTGTGAAAATGCTGGGATTTCTTGCGTTGAGTATAAATTAACTTAAAAATACATGTATTTCTAGATTTGTAGAAAATGTATACATGTGTATAGAATATACTGATTTCAGAACCATCGACAACATGAACATTTCTATACTGTGATCAAATTAACAAGTCACAATGCAAATATGTCCACGCAAGAAAATATACACGTTTACAGCATGAGATTATTTTTTTTAAAGTTTAAACTAAAATTATCGACAATGAAAAATCAAATTCTTATTATTTGAAAATCAAACTATAAAAATCAAAAACATGAATTACAAATATAACAGGGCAATCTCCTAGTATTTAAACACTAGATTCTTAATATTAGAAAATCAAAATTCCTATTTAACAAGACATCCTAGAAGGATCTTGGTACACTCGCAATTGTAAGTTCTTCATATAATTATATGTATGGATAGTATGTAAGTTTGATCTTTATATAATTATATATAATTATATATATGGATAGTATGTAAGTTTGATCTTTATATAATTATATATATGGATAGTATGTAAGTTTGATCTTTTTTCTTATCAGTTGGACTAATTGAATCATGTTCACAAAGCTTCATACTGATGTGTTCAACGATGTCCTTTCAATGGGAGGTTGTTGTGTGTCTTATTTACTAGCATCTTATTTTTTAAAGTAATGTTTAACCAAATTGTTCTACTTGAAGTTAAAAATGAAAAAAATAATAAATTGCACATGCAAAACACGTTAACAGGAATAAGCCCCTAGCTTAGTCTCATCACAATCCTGCAAGTTATTGTGCCAAATTCTGTCGACGAATCAGATAGCAGTATGTTAATAAATTATGTGCAGGTTTTGCTCACCTTTAAGCTTAGCCATTGTCATTGTATAGTATAAATACTGACCAAATATTATAAGAATCCAGTCATATCTGTCAAAGGTATTGTACAGAAACTGTCAACCAATCAGAACACAGCATGGATTTTGATTGATTAAACGATATTACTTAAAATTCAACAAATTGTCGAAGAAAAAAAAGGAAAATGTAAAAAAACAATGATAATAAATTTGATGATGAAAGAACATACCGGTACTTGAACGCATTAGTGAAACATTTGTCAGTACGGGCCACCGCTGATCATTTCTTTTTTGTACATTTGATTTGTCTTTTCTTGAATTCACAATTACTGTCACAGCTTGAAAATTGATGATAGTCACTCTAGCAGGTGAAATTTTATGAAAAATGTTTAATCTTAATTCTACATAAAAAAAAAATCTTTTCCATAAGTACATTGTACACATGTTAATTTTTAATGTCCTTTGTAATTTCAAGTTTCCTACCAATATCAGTACAAAACCACAGTTGCTACTGAAGGGCACAGATTTTGATGACACAAGGATATTTTTCTGATCAATGTCAAACTACAACTTGAACTAAAATGTACTTCGGTCCTAGTGAACCTAAAATTTGAGAAGGACTTTGATATATTTAAGTTCTTCTTGAGAAATAATGGCAGTAAACTTACCCTGCCAAAATCAGTCTCATAATGAACACGCACAATAAAAGACCAATAGGAACCTTCATATCAACTTTGAGAAAGATCTGTTCAGTAATTTTCGAGAAATAGTGATAATGAACTTTAACTGTCAAAATCCAAGATGGCTTCCCGGTGCCCATCTTGTTTAAATTCAGATCGGTCTCAAAATGAAACAAGAGGCCCATAGGGCCTGTATCGCTCACCTGGATATTTAAGCAATCAAGGCAAAATATTCTCCAAATGAGATCCTGCTTCCAAGCTATGACTCAGAAACTAGGTCCCTAGGGTTGTGGCCAGACCCCAGGATCAATTATAATATCATGACTGCATTTGTCTCTTTTTGCCCAGCATTTGTATATATAGTTTTGGGGAGGGGATCTCATGATAACTGTTTCAAAGTTATGACCCTGGGGTTAAGTCTGAAAGGCTGGGGCAGACCCTGGGGTCAATTCTAATATCATGAATGCATTCGTATCTGCCCAACAATTGTATATATAGTTTTCGGGTGGGAATCTTAACCATTTCAAAGTTATGACCCAGGGGTTAAGTCTCGAAGGGTGGGGCAGTCCCCAAGGCCATCATGGAAGCATATGTGCATTCATCTCTTTATACTCATAAATTGTATATATATGGTTATAGGGTGCACGTGGGGCTCTCAACTGTTTCCAAGCTGTGATTAAGAAACTAGGTCCCTAGGGGTTCGGTCATATCATGACTGCATTCGTCTCTTTATGTCCAGCATTTGTATATATAGTTTTAAAGTTATGGCCCAGGGACTATGTGTTCAAGGGTGGGGCCAGACCCTAAGGCCATTATGGAAGCATATGTGAATTCATCTCTTGATACTAATGGTTATAGGGTGGGGCTTCCAACCATTTCCAAGTAATAAACTTTTTTGGGCCCCACCCCTTAGCCCCACCATTTGTACAATTTTGAATCCCTTCCTCCCAAGAATGCGTTTGATCAAATATGATTGATATCCAATGCACAGTTCTACAGAAGAAGTCGTTTGTAGCAATATAGCCAAATTGCCCCCTTTTGGCCCTACCCCTCAGCCCCCAACAGATGTGATTGGGAAGTTATCAATGGTAAAACAAGTGTCTTTACAAGTACATACTGTTATCACACATGGGACATCTTTCATAGGTGACCAGACAGGCAAAGCAGAACTCATGTCCACACGCCTCCACCAGCCTTCGCTTCCTGCCTTTATCAAATGGCATGTGGCATACAGGACATATGTCCATGCTGTGTCCATCCATATTCAGCTCCCGGATCACATCAAGGTCTGAAAAATAGTAAATTGCACAGTGTGAGAAATCGAAGGTCTACATAACTAATTGGTAGCTAATTATGTGTCTGCAAGATGAAAGGGATAGCCGACATACTGTAGATTTATAGAGACAGTTTTTTTGTAAAAATGTTATCAACAATAATACGTAAAAGATCAATCAAACCTTTATATCACAGTATCAATGATTAACAAATGTGGGAGCGTGAGGGGATGCAGGAGCAGAAACTAACATTATCATAAGAAAAATTCCTCTGTACATTTATTTCATTGAATAAATTGGTAATTCAACCTAGTAGTAGACTGGTCATGGAATATTTTGAACAGCAACTAGGATTTTCCAAAACTAATTAATTAAGGTGGAGTGATACCTTCCAATTTAGAGCCTAGGTGTGGAGACTTGCACATGTTGGCTCAATTCCAGAATGATATTTGATAACCTAATAACATCATGCTTGCATTTATAAAGTATCAAAGCAATTTACAACAATAAATTAAACTGTCAGAAAAATACAAATTCTAGTTAGTTCGACCATTTTTGATAATTGAATTTGTATAATATCTTTTGAATAAGCTAGAGTCTCATTCCAGCCCGTTTAAAAGATTTTTATATATATGCCCAGGAACTACAGATTGTAAACATCAGTGATTGTAGGTAATTAGGGCAGTGGTCATAATATTATGTCATATAGTGTATATATCAACAATGCAAGCTTCCAAGATTTTCAATAAATTTCTCAGGTGCAAGAGGTATGATCATCACTATGTATGAAAAATTCCCCCCTGAGACCTTTAAAACAACCTCTCGGGTCAAGCACTGCCTTTTTCAATGTTTCTAATGCCCAAACAGTAAAAGCAATGACATTGACATATATAAATCTATATATATGTAAATTCAAAATAAAATTGCATAATTGCCATATTTATTTCTGGTACATGTGAGGTTCCATGAGGGTTTTACATGATATGTGACACAACATCCAAGAAACTGTTCAGTGGTGTGACTTGTAATTTCAGGTGTCTATTTAAACCCTCCCTTGTTAATACACTTCATGAATTTCTTCGCAACATTTCCATTATGACAATATAAAAGCAATACATGACAGAGTACTTTACGTGGCTTCAGTAATGAAATACTTGAACCCCCCCCCCATAAATGTGCAACCCTACACCCCTCAACCTCATATATATAGAGTAGTCTCTTGAATGATTCAATACTAGAATTTAACAGCCTTACATTCAGATGATCTGCTGTTCAGATGGGACATGGAGGCATACCAGTAGGCCTTATTATGCTACAGGCCAGTGCCCAGACATGTACTGTAGTCTGTACATTTGACGTTTAACGCTTGGTCTGTATGATCAAAATGACTAAACAACAAAGCAAATTATAACTTTTTGGTTTTGTCACTACACGTTTTACAATCGATGATAAAAAAAACCTACATGAGCCTGTATTGTCGAGCGCTGACAAATGAGACGGTATTTGACCCAGAGGCCGTTTGACACTGAATTTAGTTCCGGAAACTTGAACCTCGTAGCCCACTGGGTTTTGAAATCGAATGTCTATGTTAAGATTCACATAAAGCTATGATAAGATGTGGTAACATATAAAATAACAATTATTTGTTTACTATGAATTTAACAAACCTACCTGGATACTTAGAAACTACATAATGAGCTGTGAAATCAAGCACATGACGTTTCAGGAATAATCGCTTACACTGTATACGGAAATACCATTTCTAGTATAATACCGGGCCGGAAGCGGTCCAAATATCCGGATTCCAAATCGAAAGGATTTTTTTTTTTTTTATTCATTTTCCAAGCATTTACAAATATAACTATGATGAAACTTTAAAATCAGTTGTATTTTTAATGATATGTACGATAAGAAGACATAGCCTTTCTTTTTATTCCAAATGGGGAGATAATCAATCTATTTAAAATCAGATCTCTCATTACACTAACGTTACATAATGGGTTTTTTAATCGACATGGGTTTTTATAGCATTTTTGATATCTTTTATTGTAAATATGTCAAAAATGAAAAATGCATAAACAGAGCAATTACTGTGATACATGTATGGTGTTGTTTTTTTTGCTATGGATAGCATTTCAGAAAATGTGAGAAAAATTTGCTACACCTTATGGGTGGTAAATAAAAAAATATAAATTTTCCAAAAACCAAATTTTACTTAATTTCATACTTTTGAGGAAAATATCAGAAAAACTGCTTAATAACTTAAATTCTTGTATCTAAAAAGCTAGGATGAGAACCCAGCTTTTCCTTTTGATATTTGAAATTTATGTCCAAAAAGCGAGGTAATTCAACATAACAGGTATTTTTCCAAAAATATCGACCCATCTTACTTTAACTCACATATCCCATGAATTATAACTGGGGCCTGGAACGACTTAATTGTTGCTAATTTGTTCTGATTCTTTGTGATCCCACATGGCTGCGGCAGCCTCTGAATATTGTTTTGTCAAATACAGGACTATCACTTTTGTTCTGTTTATTGATTTCAAGGAATGGTTGGGAAATGTATCCAAGTATGTTTATCTGTAAACCTGAATAAAGATATCAACATTTCCTGTGTGATATAAGCTGGCTTCTGTTGGATTGAAATTAAGATATTGTCCAATTTCAAATTCCTACAGGTACATAAGTGCATATTTACACTGCATACTTGCCAAATTTTTGAAATTTCCATTGGGGAGATTCTGCTTACTAAAAAATTAAAAAACATGTGTAAAAAAAATGTGTGAATATATAACCGATAGAGAGTGAAAGTGATTTAAATAACCATTTAAAATGACATATTTTTAGTTGTTCTTCCAGATGAACTCATTAGATATTAGAAGATAAGAATAGTTTAGCAAATTCACTAGTTAAAAATACTTAATTTAAGGGTCCAAAATTGGGAGTCTACCTCCTTAATAGAGAAAGTTGGCAAGTTTTACACTGTGAAAACTACAGCATCCTTCGTATATGTTTAGAAAGATTTGAAAATGTATGCTGGCTTCTGATTGGTCAAATATTGCACCATTTCAATCATTTCCATCATTGCACAGTAAACCCATTTTGCGATGCATCATTAAAAACTACAGTGATATGGTTTGAGGAACATCTGTAATACAGATGTCACTCATTACAATTAGAATTTGTTGTTTAATGTCTCATAAACCTATAGTTCTTAGGGACTTATTGCTTCTGTTCCGTTCCTTACGTCACTTCCAACATGTTCCTATGACTTATTTTTTAAGTCCCTCTTGTTTGGGAATTAAAGGTTTTTGCTACGTTTCATTATTATTCATCTTTTTTCTTTACTTTCTTTCATCCAACCACAGACTTAATTAGATAACAATTCCGTGAACCAACCGTGCCCACACATTACCTATGACACCATGTCATAACTACTAGTGGAACTTCCCATGATTATTGCTATGCAGGTCTAAAATGTGTGCTTAATATCCAACCAGACATTGCCACTGTGACCTCTGATTGGCAGAAACATATCAGGCTATAAGTTTTGTTCTATTTTGTAGAAGGATATAAATTGTAACAGTATTGAATCTTTGGTGTAGTGCTACCTTGAAGTAATAGGCATAAGTCACATAGAGTTATCTCCCCTGTGACGACCCTGTGTATTATACTATGTGGCCTCAGACCACAAATACACTTGTACACGAATGTAGTGCATAAGGACATTTCAGGTCAGTTACTAAATAAATTTTCCTGTCTAATCTATGACAGATATGTACATTTGTTTCACATAGAATTGTTCAACAATATCTATTCTAGTGATTGAATTTTTCTTGACACACTTTTCATTTTTGTATTCGCAGCAGGAAACAATGAGTGGTGATCGAGGCTTGCGCATTGATATTTTGTGATTTTTGGTATTTTCCCCTATACCGGTACAAGCAGAGTAGTGACATTCAAATGAAAATATCTTTCTTAAATGTCGGTCATGACTGATGAGGTACTGTCTAGCTCACTGTTCGAATAGACTTACAATACGAAATAGCTAGGAACCAGACCCTGCGCAAAGTTTTGAAATATTTTCATTTTCCTTTGGTAGTAACATACAGTAAATTTAATTGTGGTCTGAGGCCATGTGCTTGGAGCTGAAATAAAAACATGGACAATAGGAGCCTATGCAGTGTTATCATCGTTCTCCAATGCATCTATATATACACAACAAACACCTCAGTACAGTAATGGAAACGGAGAAATGAGATAGTTATGCAGCATTATCTGTAAGTAAAAAAAAAAATATAAAAAAATGGCCACCTGTGACATACTGAATTTTGATTGTTCAAAATTCTGGTATTTTAGGATTTCTTAAATTTGCTTTTATGACACTGCAAAGTCTAACAAGACTAATACCATTTTGTCATTAAAAAAGGTGGGCACATTGTGGACTGGCCTCTCAGATTGGCATACTTGCCAACTCTCCCTATTTAGGAAAGAGATTTCTAATTTTGGACCCAAAAATTTGAGCATTTTCATGTGTTTGACATATTTGACACCTGTGACCTTGAAATTAGATTCAGGTTATTTTCATTTGCAAACTTTGTTGGGCTCTAACCCAGGAAGCCACCAGCCAAATATTAAGATTCTATATGTTTCAGTTCTTCAGAAGAAGTTGCTTTAAGTGTTAAAAATATTTGAACCCAGCAACCTTGAAAGTAGATCCAAGTCATTTTCATATTTTCATTCTCAAACTTTGTCAGGTTCCACCCCAAGAAGCTACCAGTCAAATATTATAATTCTAAGCCTTTAGATTATTCAGAGGAAGTCGTTTGAAGTGTTTGACATATTTGACCCCAGTGACCTTGAAAGTAGATCAAGGTCATTTTCATTCTCAAATTTTGTCAGGCTCCATCCAAAGAAGGTTCCAGCCAATCGCATGTCGGACGGATGACATATGCTGCATCATGACATAAGGCAGGTGAGCTAAATATTTACTGAGAAGAGAGAGTAAGTG